GTGTCTGAATCCAATTTTACTTTTTGGTACTCCTGGATGGCTTCATGGGTTAACATCCAAATTCCCCATGATGTAAACCTGTCCTTTTCTGCTGGAGGTACTCTTTTTAATCCGGATTTAGTTGTTCTTGCATTATACACTTCTAGCAATGTTGCAAAAGGATCTTCAGTAAGAAAGCCTCCTGCTATCCAGGGATTAGGTCCCTTCTTTAAAATCCATTTATGTAATTGGTCTCTAGGCTGTTCCTCCTTAAACAGCCTGGCTGCTACTGGTGACATTCCTTCATTTGTTCCTTTGTTCATCTCTCCTGCTTCTCTGTCTCTCTCTGTAGAGCTTTAGGGACTCCCGTGTTCCCTTTTTACCCATGGTCAGAGGTAAAATCTTTATCACCTTTTTGCCTAGGGAACCAGATCGTCCCTGCAGAAAAACAACCCTCACTTTGACTAGACCATGCCCCAGAATTTTCACTAGGGAAACTCTTGGTTCTGTGCCCCACTGGAGTGACCAGTGGCCAACTTAAACAAACATGAAGGGCTTTAATCCCCAGCTAAGTTCCTACCTTGGGTTTTTTCTTCCTACAGTCTTGTGCAAGGACTCCCCCCTGCTGTACCTGCCTGTGCTGATCCAAGGCTTTTCCCACCCACCTTGTGCAAAGAACTTATGGCCACAGTTCAGAGATGTCTCCATGCTGTACCTGCCTGTGCCCATCCAAGGCAGTGCACACTCATTATCTCAACCTTGTGCTAGGACTTAAAGCCACAATAGGAAATGTCTTTCCTACTGTACCTGTCTGAGCTCGTCCAAGGCTGTGCCCACTCACACTAAATGCTGCCTGAGGTCTGAGTTATGGATGATCATGAATGTGTGGTGTGAGAGGGGGAAAGGATGTATCCTAACATTGGTGTCCAACCCATGATAGATGAAAATAAAAATAGGACATCAGGAAACTAGTCTGACTCCACACCCAAAGACATCTGGAAGTCCACAACCAGGTGGCCCAATTTCCACAGCCAGAGCCAGTGTGCAGAACAACCAACCAAAAAAATGAAATGGGTTCACTCAACCCTGATAGTCCCAAGCCCTTGTGGCCACTCACACAGAACAACATACACACAGAATTCCTGGTTTTTGCATCTCAATCTCTTTTAACCTCTATGTCCAGAGTGTACACAGTCCAACCGGCCAAATTGGAATGTCCACACTTTGGAGATTTGCCCAACAAATTCTCCACCAAAAATGTAAAGAAGGACTTAAACTTGGGGAATTACTAAAGTCCAAGTCTTCTATGGAATCTTTTATCTTATGTTTACGGAGGTGGCTAGGGAATAGACTGATAGAGACAAAGCTTTCCAATGAACTATAATTTATTTGGGGGATTCAAACAAAGACACTCTATCATTCACTCATACACACAAGAACTCAGGAATAAAGTCGTTAGCCTGGAGAGGAAATACAAGGCTTTCTAATGATGATAATTACCTGAAGGAGGCTGCTCCAATGAAGAATGAAATTGGATAGACTCAACCATTATTAAAAGGGGAAAGACAACGGAAAGAGCTGGGACTCAAGTCAGAGTTCACAGTGGCGCAATGTCACAATGAAATCTAGCCAGAACCAATGTGCCTGAGATTTTGGGACTCTTTTATAACCTTAAACCTAGCCTGAGGTGAAAAGTTGCTATTGTATATCAAAAGATTCCAATTACTACTCTGTGGTAAACAATTTGCAAGCAGAAAAGATGGGATGTTTATATTATCTCATCTTCAGCTGGACACATCCTAGTTGGTACTCATAAATCTTCTAGGTGTGAATCTCCTAGGCTTGGCCCTTTTGACCTGCAAATTATTGTAAGTGCAGATGTGACCTTTCAGGTGCCTACGTGATGTGCTCGCCTTGGGTCTATGGTGATCGGGCTTCTGCCAGTCCAGGGCCATGACAGAGACCCAAAAGGGGTCTTTATATCAAATCAGCCATCATAACAGGAGCTTCCTTGTAATTTTGAGGCAAGAAAAAAGGAAATAGAAGACCTGACTCACAGGACTGACAGTCAACACACCACCTGTCTCAGTCTGGTGAATGAAGGTGAGAGGCATTTTTATTCCTATTATGTGAGGAACTGTAGACTAATGTTTTTGGCTCTGACTGTTGGAAAGAACTGGAAGATTAGTAGAAATAAGGGACTTCAGTATTTGCCTCTGAGGAAGACAGCTGTGTCAAGATGTGACCTTTGTTCACGTACTGTGTTTACACTAATGGTCATCAGTCTTCTACTAATGTGAAAACTGACGCCAAAGTAGCCTTTACATGTATAGCATTTGCCTGTAGTGTTAAAGTGTGTGGGTCACGTATTTATTATAGATGATGGACTTTCTATGGAGATTCAGTGTAAATTGTTCGTTTTAATTTATTGACAATATAAGATTACTTACTTATCTGTTTCCTGAGCCTGTTAATTTCTTACTTTTTACTTCAAAGACCCAAGGATCTACACTACAACATTATAACAGTTCATGGCTCTGTTCTGTGGGATCTTGAAATGTATAGTTTGGCAAAGAATTTAGAACTTTTTGTGAGAAACCTCTAGTTTCCCATGAGAAGTGGAATTATAATCCCCTGATTCCATAGAACAGAATAATGAAATTTAAAGTAGTGTCAAACTGCTGTAATTGTGTAGATCAGATACATTCAACAGGACATCACTTATAGCCTCTCATGCTGCTATGCTTTTTCCAAAGCCTCTCCAAGGTCAGGCAAGGCTAGCTAACTAATGCTGGTGGAGTACAAATGGGGAACCTCATCTTCTCTGCAGTCTCTACACAGATAGCCTCTTTTTCTTTGCTTTACATCTGTTTCCCTGCTGTTTAGCTTAGATGTGCAGATGAGACAGAGACTGCAGGAAAGGGGGGATTAAGCATAGACAATGGAATGGCTCTTAATGAAGCTGACCTTCCCATTCAGAAAGATGAGGGGACCCTTTGAGAACTGCCACTTCAAGGTGTGCCATCTGCACACTGAAGCAATGAAACTTGATGGAGAAAGCTTCCCTTGCATTTCCTTCTCTGGAGAATGGCACTCCTGGGCCTCCATGGGCCAGTTTGGTGAGTGGTGCCCATCCACAGAACCATTTCTTCATCACTGAAATAATCTGCCAGGGGTTCTGTTAAATGTTTATGCCCAAAGCTACTGCTAGGCATTTACTATTAATCCACTGTATGACACAATGTATGTTTACATCAGTATGTTGAATATAGAACATATAGCACAACATCTAAAACACTGGGTAACCAGACTGGCAATTTGTGCTGACATGTTCTACATTTAAAGTCACTTTTTCTCCAAATGCTCAAAAGCAAAAGCATATTTCAGTGGGTATCTTGCTTTCGGTTGACCACCTCTCCTGCTGATGTCTCTATTTTGCATTCACATATGTTTCCAGATTTGTTCCAAAACTCATGTGACCACCCTCTGTCCCCCTCCCATGCCTCCTTACTATTGATTTTTAAAAACTCTTTCTAGAACCTTAGCACTATTCCTGTAAAGTGCTATAGTCATATTACTATCTTTTTCTTCTGGCCAGCATGGTGTAGTGGTTTGAGCACTGGACTAGGATTCTGGAGAGCAGGGTTTGAATCCCAGATTGGTCATGCAAACCCACTGAGTGACCTTGGGCAATTCACACACTCTTAGCCTCAGGTAACGGCACTGGCAAACCCCCTTTGAAGAAATTTCACCAAGAATACCCCATGATAGGCTGGCCTTAGGATCACCTTAACGAAAAAAATGTCTTGGAGGCACAACAACAAAGAACAACCACAACCACCCCTCTCTCTCTCTATGGACATTATCACATGTGGGCCAGAAAGTGAAAATAAAGTGGAAATGAGGCATTCCGAAAATAAATGGAAAATAAACCTTAATTCTGCAAACGTCATTACCTTAATTGCGAATTTACAGTAAGCGCATTGAACGTCCACACACAAGTGAAAAAAGCCCATAAATGTATTAGAAATGAGGTTCTTGCACATGCACAGATAGAGGAATGCTCGCTGGAACCATGGCAACAGCAGGGAAATGCTCCCAAATGCGCATTTGGTTATCACATTACGGTAAATGTGAAATTACCTTAATTGCGCATTTGCATTTCCTCCAAACAACCGAATTTCAAAAGATCGTGGTTAACACCAGTTTCTATCCACTTTCTGTCCAGTTTCTGTGTGACATCATGTGAAAACATGGGGCACTAATCCAGTTTCTGTCTGGGTTTTGTGTGGATTAACCAACAGATTTGCCCCCGTGTGATAACGTCCATAGACACACACAGTGTGAAATTTGGCACTAGAGGAAACTGAAAATGAGGGAAAGAGGGAGTGCATTATAGGGGAAAGGTCATCTTAACTGAGGGGGAAAACACACATTTAGCAAGAAAGGTCAAGAAACATCAAGAAGCAACATCCACCTGAACTCCCTAACTGAACATAAGATTAGACATTACCTTCTTATAAGGACCTCCCGGGTGAAAAAGATTATATCACTTGTGGCATAGACCTGCATTGTAATTTTATTATTGTATTAATTATTGCTATTTTTATTGTTTTTATTGTTGGGTTTATTGTTTTTATTTTTGTTCTTTTTATTACTGTTGTGATTTTATTGTTATGTTTTTCTTTTTTATTATCTGTACTACTGTACATTTTGTACATTTTACCTTTGTACTCCTGCCTCAATCTGTAGGGAGAGGTGGGAAATATAAATAAATTATTATTATTATTATTATTAGTAGTAGTAGTAGTAGTAGTAGTAGTAGTATATGGTGTGGCACAAATTGATAGAAACTTGGATGAACCACTAAATAATAAAATGTTATTGGTGGGATTTACTGTGGAATACAACAGAAGAAGAGAAGCATAATTTGGGCCTCAGAAATGAAAGGTTCAGTAATGAAAACCACTACATCCCAACACATTTGGCAAGTCTGGATGAGCCCTATATGCAATTATATAGCCTCATCTTGTCATTGAAATAAACATATGCAATTCTTTCAGTCTCTTGACATATGTCTTGCATTCTGAGTCCATTATCATTTTTGCTCTTCTCTTTGGCTTACTTTTTAATCAAGCTGCATTCTTCTTAAAATATGGTCACCAAAACCAAATACAATCTGCAGCAGAGTATTACACATAATTTCTACCAAATAAACATTTTGAGTTGAATGTTCATACTCTTAAGTAGAAGAACTCAGTTGAGACATATTCCAAAAGGGTCCATTGATCATCACTGGGAATATGACATTGGTACTAAAAACAGCACACCCAGATAAAGCTTTTTTGCCAAAATTAGTGATGGGCAATAAAATGGTTCCAGAAGCCCATAGCCAGTGCTAAACTGTGAGATTTACACTGTGCCCCACTTCAAAGAAAAATAACACTAACATGAAAACACCCAGAGCTTTCTCTCTCCTTCTCTCTCCACATGTGGTATGTGGCTTACTGAATCATACAGTATTTGTTCTTTTGGTTTCTTAAAACAAATTTTTGCTTAACCTCTGCTGTGACCCAATGAGTAAACATGGGTACCAAGATATGCTCAATTTCTGCTTCTTTTAAAAACCAGAATGTTTGCTTATGTGGTGATCACTGAAGGAGAATGCTTGTTCTGATTAACCCCTTGATGAATATTTGCTGCTTACTTCCTGGCTTAATTTTCTCAGTGCCCCTAATTACAAAATTCTAATTGGTTTCAATACACCTAATGCTTATTCATGTCTTGTTTGTTCTTGCATTATACTGTTGATCTTCTACTTTTAATTAAAGGTGTAGACATGATGTCTATGAACCTGCCTTCAAATATTTGCCATTACCAGCCCAATATATTGGAAGCTCAGAGGTAGAAAGAATGGAAATCCACATGTGCCACAACCAACCACCTTTCCCCATCTGCCACCAGCTCCACCACCCCTGGCCATTACTGTGGTTGATATTGGTGAGAAAAGTTCAGTGGTCCATGATGGGGAAAATAGAGCATTCTTCTACTGAGATGTCAATTCTTTCCTTTTGTTACAATGATTACAGCCCAAAGCAACTACATATAAGCAGTCATAAAACCATAAATGTTTGCTTTATTTGGAATGCCACGTAGAGCAGAACAGATTTTTGACAGACATTAATCCCAATGATGGTACTTCAAATGGAATCTTATTTCTAAAGACAACAGAATAAGGCAGGGGTAGGCAACATTTCCCCTTTAAGGGCTGAGGGACTTCAGCTCCCAGAATCCCAGGAGCTATTGGCCAACACAGAACTATTGGCCAACATGGCTGAGGCTTCTGGGAGCTGAAGTCCCTCGGCCCTTAAAGGGGAAAGGTTGGCTACCCCTGGAATAAGGGATTTGGGCTGGCAGGATCATTATTACTGATAGGTGTGAAAGATGACTATGGGTGTGTCAAACAAAGTCACAGGTTGGCAATGGAGATTCACAATGAGTTAGATTCCTTCTTTTAAAATCAGAAGGAATCTTCCCAAACTGAATTCACTTCAGTCTGATGGATTGGAATGGAATTAAACTCATGCTGATATTAGTTCTATCCTGACCTTGAGGCTTTGTCATAGTGCTCGTAATGTTATCAGGAATGCAGGAAATTCTGGAGTCTTTCCCACCATATCCAATCACATTTTTTAGCCTCTTCAATCCTCTTCATTTTTCAAATGAAGGAAGGTGAAGGGGAGGACTGGTCCTTGAGTCTTACTTACAAATAGAAACTTGAAAATGCAAAAGACCTTGGAAATGATATAGGTCTTCTACTTTGTTCACCACTATCATTTCCAACAATGTTAACATTGCAATGTTTTTGTGGTAAAGTCAAGAATGGTGAAGTGGTAGTCCTTCAGATTTCACTGAATCATATCGTTCAATTACCTTGATTTGGCAGAGATAGCCTCAATTAATCTGCTGTTGTCCCCTGTTGTCTCATTTATTTTTAGTTGTTTTAAAATATCTCACTAAATAACTTGTGCTATCTTGACCATATCCTGATTTGCTTGACCATAGATATCCTGGTTTACATCTGTAAAATACTGGTGGGTATGCAAATGATAACTTCCACCCTTCCTCAGCAATGGATATGCTAGCTAGGAATAATGAGAACTGCACTTCAACAACCTCTAGAGCAGGGGTAGGCAACCTTTTTGAGCCAGGG